ACATATAGGGATGCTAATAATATACCATAGTGACATATAGGGGTGCATAATATACCATAGTGACATATAGGGTTGCTAATAATATACCATGGTGACATATAGGGGTGCTAATAATATACCATGGTGACATATAGGGGTGCTAATAATATACCATGGTGACATATAGGGGTGCTAATAATATACCATGGTGACATATAGGGGTGCTAATAATATACCATGGTGACATATAGGGATGCTAATAATATACCATGGTGACATATATGGGTGCTAATAACCTACCATGACCATAACACGTTCAAAGTTTAAAATCATAGTAATTTATCACTAATTAATAACCCGCAAAAAAGTATATGATTACCACAATGATACTATCATTCTGTCCAAACAGGTCAATGACCTGTATGGGCACGAAGACGAAGTAGTTGAATACAATCGGATGCAATCTGATTAAAATCTGATGTAGTGTACGGGCTTTAATTATTGTGGCTATAAACTTATTTTAATTTTATTTTTTATTACTTTTGTTATTAATGCCCTTTTATTTTATTATTTTACTTTGATTTTGATTTTGTGATTTTTTTTAATTCTGCCCTACCTACATCTGATCCGACGCCTAAGTAAGTCCCGTTCAAATCTCGCATAAGTAACAGCCAATCACAGCCCCCCTTTTATACAGGCTGTCGGTTGCTTACTTTTCAGTGTAGTGATACTCTACGGGCAATCTTTCTGTACATTATATTTTGCCCACTTGAATAAACCATTAATAGAAAATTGCTAGTATATTTTTATTTGCAAAAGAAATTCCACAGCATTTTACAATTTTTGTCATTACATTGAATATTTTTTTCACTTCCAACAAATGTGTACACTTCCAGATACATCTTCGCCAACCAAGGTTCGTTCATTCAGTCATCGCTTCAATTTTACATCACTGAGCATAATTATCTAGAATGGAAGCAAAAAAATAAGTAAATCGTAATGATTAGAACACTGTAAACGGCTATAGTAAAAAATGCAAACTGATTTTGAATTGTATAACGGTCACCGGCCCACGGCATCGACGCAGAAAATTGGAGCAAAAAAATATTTCCTGATCAATACTATTGCGATGTGGTCCAATAAAAAATATTTTATTCCAGTCCAAATCAGCTCAATTACTTTAATAAAGAGTTATTGTATAATGTACAAAATGATGATACAATTTGATGAATATTTACAGCTACGGTTTCAATACCCGATCTTCAACAAAACATCACCCGTCTCCAGGGCAGGCGACTGGAAAAAGACACTGGTGTTCGGTCGAAACGGCGGAAACAAAATCGTCACTCCCAGAATAACTATGCAAAATAACGATCTAAAGTCGAACCATTCGAGCCACAATATTAACATAAAAATGACTTTCGTTGCATTTGACAATGATACACTTACTGAAAAGCCGTGTTATTCTCGGTCGCTAACGTCGGTATAATCCGCTATTTTATTTGAGTGTGTTTGCCACCCGACTCCGCCCGGTGACGTCATCATGTGCGCTATAGAAGGAGGTATGTGATTCGTTGACTAAAATCGTCGATAGTGGGTCTCGTTGAAATCTCGTTACATAGGCATCGGCTCAGATGTAGGTAGGGCGGAATTAAAAAAATCACA